GAGATCATGTGATACTTGTCTCTCTCTGACTGGCTTGTTTTGCTTAGCATAATACTCTCCAGATCCCTCCATGCTATCTCAAAGGGGAAGAGATCCTTCTTTTTTATAGCTGCATAGTATTCCACGATGTAAATGTACTGTATCTTTTTGGTCCATTCATCTACTGATGGGCACTTGGGCTGCTTCTAGATCTTAGCTATTGTAAATAATGTGCTATGAACATAGGGGTATATATATATATATATATATATATATTTAATGGTGTTTTGGGTTTCTTAGGTTATTTTTTTAATTGAGGAAACTCCTCACTGTTTTCCATAGTGGTTGCACCAGTCTGCATTCTCTCCAGCACTCTACTAGGGATTTTTTCCTCCACATCCTCACCAGCACTTGTTGTTTGTTGTTTTATTGATGGTAACTAGGTAGCTAGGCCAGTATTTTTCCCTACAAAGGTCAAGCAAATACATTTTAAATGAGCCTTTTTTTTTTTTTTTTTTGCTTTTGTGATAGCATATCTGATAACATACCTTGGAATTATCAAAATAATTTCTTTCCTTCGGACCCCTCAAAGCATAACCCCTGTACCGGAACAGAGACCTCAAATTCCCTCATTGTTATTGTTATTGTGTTGTTAACTGTTAACCATCCTGTACACACCGATGTATAATAAGTATGTGTCTATTTGTTTTACTTTTTATCTAATCCCAGAGATTCCGCCCCCCTTTGCCTTCTCTCACATCCTAATCTATCACCAATAGATTTCATGTAACCCCCTTACTTCTCTTCCTTTAATCTATCACCAATGGATTTCATGTAATCCCCTTACTCCTCCTCCTTTCATTGTAATGTATAAAATAAGGTGCAAAACTGCCATTATCTGGAGCATTTTCTCAACTCGTTAAGATTTTGCTTCCCGGCAATTGTTATCAGTTTGGCTCAAATAAACTCATAAAAATTCTTACAGGTTCAGACACTTCTTACATTGACAAGTGAGTGTACAAGTTGGGAGGTTTTAGAGAGCTAGCTTGTGTTGCTTAAAGAAAAGGAAGAAGGAAGAGAAAGAGTGGGGGAGGGAGGAGAAGAGAATTCAGTAGAGGCTAGAATTGCTGGTGCCTGTCTATTTCACGGGGATGGTGCGGGCAACAGAGCTATTAGCTGAGAAGAAACGTTGCAGGAAGACCTGAGATGCTGTGTGATGTAACCCCCTCCACCATTTCTCTCCCGTGCCTTCTCCAGCTTTTCCCTTCGTGTGCTGGTTGGGAATTTAGACTCTAGAGCCAGATGCTTTGTTTCAACTCCTAAACTGGCTGTGCAACTTTGAGTGATTTAATCTAGCATCTGCATGCTTTGGTTTTCTTATCTGTAAAACAAAGACAATAATAGCACGTACCTCATAAAGTTCTTAACAGAATTTAATGTGTTAATACATGTAAAGGGTTTACAATAGGCCTCACACATACTTGATTACTGCTTACCAATGCTTTCTGAAATTCATTTTTTAAAATTTATTTTTGTTTTGTTTTGGGGAGGGTGTGACAAAGATCCAAGTTCTATTTTATGGTAACAAGATGAGAACAAAGACTGCTCCTAGGGACCAGTTACATCTGATGCTTTTATAATAGCTATTACTACTATTGTAATTATTTTACCAGCTAGGGCTAGACCTCCCTCTTAATATGCATCATGCCCACACATTTTTCTGTATTACCTTTGTATATATATCCATTCACTTTCCTTTATTTAAGGAATTATTATTCCTTCATTTATTTGACAAATATTGATTGAGCACTTACTACTTTCTACATGTCCAGCATTGTTCTAGGTCCTGGAAAATAATACAGCCAAGATCCCTGCTCCCACCGTGTTTATGTTCAGACTACCACTTGAAAACAATGAAACTAATGAGATAATTTCTAATACTGTGAGGACAATGAAAGAGGATTGTGGGATTGACTTGAGGACTTGAAATTGACTTGGACAGGGTGGTCAAGGAAGACCTTTCTGAGGACATACCACGGGAGCTGAGAAGTGAATAATACAGAGGAGGCAGTCACATGAAGTTATTAGGCTGAATAGTCCAAGCAAGAAAGGAAAAAGTCCAGGGACGTCAAGATGAAGAAGTCCTGGTGTGTATAAGCAATTGGAGGAAACCCAGAGAGCTATAGCCCCCTGAGTGAGGGCAAGAGTGGGAGGACATGAGGTCAGAGAGGTGGAGAGGAGCTATCTCTGCCAGGCCTCCAGATGTCTTGGAAGGGAAGTGTATGTTTTATTCTAAGTGCAAATGGGAAGCCACTGGAGAGTTTCAGGCAGAGGAGTAACAGAATCTAATTTACCACGTGCAAGGAGATATTGATTTAATCCTTACTGTGTGCAATACACAGTATGGAGCCTTAAAGGAGGGTATCAAGATGAATTGAAAAAAAGCCAGACCCTCCTGGCTGCTATATGGAAAATAGATTGTGGAGGGGCAAAAGAGGAAGCATGAAGTCCACTTAGGAGAATTCTAGAAGAGAGAAGCAGGCGCTTGGGCGGGTGGTAGCTGGAGAAGGGGGTAGAGATTTTGACTACATTTTGGATATAGAGCCTTCTAATGACTTGCTAATGGATATTGGTAGAGGGAACAGAGAATTTAATGATGACAAAGACTGTAGACTTCCTAGAAATAATTCATTCAGAGAAGTCACAAAATGAACAAACAATATGACAAACAGCAACAACAACAAACATTGGGAATAGGGGAGAATCTGATTTCCAAAATTGCTACATTATCTCATTTGAAATGTCCAGTTTCAACAAAAAAATATAAGAAATGCAAAGAAACAAGAAAGAATGACCTTTAAACAGGAAAAAAGTAGTCAGTAGAAATTGTGTTCTCAGAAGCACAGATATTATACTTACTAGACCAAGACTTGAAATCAACTCTTTTACTTTTTAAGTTTTTCCCCTTTATTTTATGTTATTATTTTTTCCATCACCATTTATCTCCAATATACCCTTTTCCATCTCCACCTACCTGAAATCAACTATTTTACATATGTTTAAAGAACCAAAGGAAATCATTTCTAAAGAACTAGAGAAATGTATGAGAAGAATGACTCTTCAAATAGAGAATATTAGTAAAGCGATAGATGTAAAAATATACTCTAAGTCCTTCATATTTTATATAAAAAAAATTTAAACAAATATTAGCGTAGCTTTCAGAATCACAACCAAGCAAATTTAATGATGAATTGTTTTAAAATTCACTATGAGTTGGAATGCTTCATTCAAGTTGTTTCTCTCTCTTTCACGTATCACTGTTGATCCTCCCTTTTTCCTCTCTTAGTTATCTCTTGTTGCATAACAAATTATCCCACACCTTACAACTAAAAACAACAAATATTTATATCACCTTACAGTTTGTGAGGATCAGGAACCCAGGCAAGGCTTAACTGGGAGCTTCTAACTGAGGGTCTCCCACAGAACTGCAATCAAGGTATCAGCTGTGGCTGCAGTCATCGGAAGACTTGACCAGAAAAGGAGCCACTTCCAATCTCACTCACACTGTTACTGTAGTTAGCTAGTCCTATGTAATAAAAGCCTAATATACTAAGTGTCCGGTCGACTGGTCGGCCGTTCAACCAATCAAAGCATAATATGCTAATGATATGCTAAGGCCACTCAACCACTCCTTATGACGTGCACTGACCACCAGGGGGCAGATGCTCCGACTGGTAGGTTAGCTTGCTGATCAGGACTGAGTGAGATGGGCTGGACATGCCCTGGAGCCCTCCCGCAGTCTCTCCTTGACTGGCCAACCTCCTGCATCCCTCCCCAGCCCCGATAGTGCACCAGTGGGGTCCCTCGGCCTGGCCTGCACCCTCTCACAATCTGGGACCCCTTGGGGGATGTCGGAGAGCCAGTTTCGGCCCGATCCCATAGGCCAGGAAAGGGACCCCACTGGTGAATGAATTTGTGCACCGGGCCTCTAATTATTAATAAAGGAAAGGAAGCAAAGGGGAGCATGAGCCTGTTTGACATTGTTAAACATGATCAGGTGGGGAGCATGAGCCTGTTTGCTTCAGGATGCTGCAGCTTAACAACCCTCCCTTCCCCCATGTAGAAAGCAGTCTGCCCTCCATTACAGGATGGTCAGGGGGTGAAGAGCAGCAGGGAGAGGTAAACACATGAGCAACATAAGTGACGATGACACAGGGGAGGGACTTGACCATAGAGGCCTGTCAGTCTAACCTGGGAAAGGGATCATTGGCTAGGGATTGGACCCACCAGAAGCCCATGAAAGCTTGGGAAGTTGATTGGTTATTTTGAGTAAGCTCCTGGTTAAAGACCCAGTTTAACAAAGAAGCTCTCTCTCTCTCTCATGCCCACCCTGTAATGCACTCACCTGTTCGTCACACACTCTCATGCTCAGGAGCAAGTGACCATGTAGGTCTAGCAGCAACTGGGGCTGCAGACCATAAGGGCTCCAAAGAATTAAGTTCTAATATAAAACAGAAACTCTGGATACTGGTCTTTGCTTTGGCCTTGCTGAAGACTCAGTTGAGTCTTTTTCTATGGCAGGACAGATAGAGATGGGACATTGGAAACCCAGGAGTCTATTTCCACCCCAATAAATCATCTTGCCACACATAAACTCCCGTGCGTGGGTCCCTGGATTTCCTTCCTAATGATCCCGTGGAAGAGCCTAATTTCCACCACCATCAACATGACGGTTGGTAGGCCACAGGTCCTTGCTGGCTGTTGGCTAGAGATATCAGCTCCTTGCCACTTGGGCCTCTCCACAGGGCTGCTCACTACCTGGAAGCTTACTCCCCCTAGATTGAGAGATCTAAATGAGAGAGAGGGAGTGTGTGCCCAAGAAGATACAGTCTTTTTTTATAACCTACTATTTTCATAACATCCAATTATTTTCTGCCATATTCTATTTGTTAGAAGTTAGTAAGTCCATCCCACACTCAAGGAAGGGGACTACACACCTGCATAGATACTAGGAGGTCACCTTCTACCCAATCCCAAACACTTTTGGTGGGCTAGACTGTTCTTGGTAGCAAATAGAAGCAGGAAAAGTAATAACAGTAGCAAGTCTTCACGATTGCTGATAGTTCAAGTCAACACAATAAAGCCATCAGAGGACTAGTCACTGTGTCCTCCATACAGGAGGCCCACCACTGGAAAAAGTAAGGCAGTGTGCATTCACACACATTTGTCAAATTTACACTACGTGTGATTAAGTCAGAAAGAAATGTACCAGGTCTGCATTACTCAAGAAGTTTCCAAGTCCAGAGTCTCAAGTACAATTATTTGCATTTGGGCTATAAGATCCTTGTAATCTCATCCTTTGTTCAGTGCACAAATCTTCCCAAACTCCTCAGCTAACCTTTCCCAAAGGGATGTTACTCCCCCCACCCCCAATTATAGCCTCCTTCATTTGCATGTGACTTTTCTCATGACAATATCATTCACACAGAGGAGGAAGCACCAGGAATGCTCCCTCTGGTTGAACTCCAACTGTGTTGTTGGCTCATCACACTCTTGCAAGCAAAAGAATATAAACATTTAACAGCCTCCCCATTCTTCTCTACTCCGCTCTCCCACAGTGACTTGCTGTTTGGTGCAAGTTCCCATGAATTCATGAACTTAACACATTCTGTATCCATAATTAAACTTTGTGTATTTTCCTTCTCTAATGAAACACTGCTTTTCTGATTAATAGTTCCCCAAATACTGCCTGTTGCCATCTTCTTCCCTGGGATGGATACCTTTAAAAACAAAGACAGATTTCCAACTTAGATGAAAATGTCAAAAAGTCCAATAAAAGTCACAAAAGAGCAATCAAGTAATAACCAAAGAATTTATTTCATTTATGTTCTGCATTTCCATGATACCATTCCCCTACTTCGTTGAAAGTGTTGGGCTTTTCTAGAACATAAATAATTAGAATTAAATTTCAAACAGCCAAACCCTTTTCCACTCTGAGGCTCTAAAAAGGGATCATTAGCCCAGCTGGCGTGGCATCATGGTTGAGTGTCAACCTATGAATCAGGAGGTCATTGGGTCATTGTTCAATTCCCGGTCAGGGCACATGCCCAGGTTGCAGGGTTAATCCCCAGTGTGGGGTGTGCAGGAAGCAGCCGATCGGTAATTCTCTCTCATCATTGATGTTTCTATCTCTTCCTTCCTCTCTGAAATCACTTAAAATATATGTCTTAAAAACGCACAAAAAACTGATCATTATTACCCAGATAAAAAAAATCTACACTCCTGCTCTGCATCCCACCTAAACCATCATTTCCTGACAGTCAGACTGCAGAATTGTCAACTTCCTGATCCTGGTCTTCCATATTTGTGAAGCTGGTATTTCCATGATTTCAAAAAGTTTGAAGTTCCATACCTAAAATTTAATTCTCACACTGCTAAGCGCACACACACACACACACACACACACACACTCACACACACAAAACAACAACAAAAACTACCTCTGGAGTGCCAGAACGACCAGTATGCTGGAGTTGGTTTGAATCCCAATACCCCACGTTCTACCTAAATCATGTGACTTGAGCTCTCTGTGTATATTAATAATCCTTAGCTCTGAGAGCTTTGTAGGTGTATGTGAGATAATCATCACTGATTTAGCAACTGTTGCTTGAATACCTTTTGAGTAGAAGGCCCAAGGGGTAAGCTCTGCAGGATACAAAGATGAATTAGATAAGGATAATGCCCTTAAGAAGTTTAGAATATAAAATGGGAGATTAAAATCAGTAACTATGATTCAAGGTAGAAAGTGGTAAAACACCTTCAACCAGATCCCAGAGCCAACACCTCCCTAAGAGGCCTTCCTGCGGGCCATTGAATGTGGGGCTCATTCACTCTCTGCCTCTGCACCTTGTTTCAGTTTCTTACAGCAATCTGGTTACTGTCTCATGGTTATTTAATTTCTTACTTACCAGGTTTTGGTCAGTCTCTTTCCTGAACATGTGAACCTTATGAGAACAGAGGCCTCCTCTGTCCTATTCATCACTATAAAACGATGCTCCAAGAATACCTGTGGATGAGCAAATGGGAGATTCAAAATTAGAAGTTAAAAGAATGCAGAGATCATTTCTACGTGTAAACACTAACAATTTTCCCAATAGGAAAACTCTGGCCTGTGAGTTTCATATCATTTCTGGTGAAATCTAAGGGGGGTGTTCTCCCCCAGGACTGAGCCTGGGGACTGAGCTTGGAGAGAAGATGTCATTGAATAAGGCTGGAGGAGAGAGAGGAGCTCATCTCCCAACCAGCCCCTGGAGAAACAACCCCTAATTCTCACCCTAGGTATAG